TTTGCAGTCAGCTTAAAACTGGGATGAACATAGTGAGGAAAAATGCATCTCTTAGATGTATCTCTGGAGCCCAACACCTTGGCATCTAAGCACCTTGATTGCTACCTGATCTACTGCCCATATGGATTTTGCAGTGGGGTGGCTGTCCCACTTCAGCAGAACAGGGGTTAAAAGCAGCCCTGGAGAGGGAGTGAGAGTGAGAGCAGCTGAGGGAGTAGCTGACCAGAGGTGTGGCCAGATCAGTTAGGGCGTAGCTGGCCCTGATAAGAGGGCTGGGGGGCCAGGAGCTGAAAGGAGACTCACTCCAGCCCTGGAGTGAGAAGGACCTATTTGCCTGGTAGCACAGGGTACCAGAAGCAGAGCAGTGCTGGGGAAAGGCAAGAGGAGCTGGGGAGCTCCAGCCTGGCAACTCCCCAGGCTGATGCCTTGGTAAAGGCCTAAGCAGGTACTGGGACTGCAGAGGTGCAGCCTGGGGATAGGCAGAGGCAGCTGGTACAACCCCCTTGCGGATGATGAGTGGCCAATTACAGACTACAGTCTGCCCCAGAGAAAGGGGGCTAGATGATGACTGGCAGTAGCCACCGAGTCAAGGTGGGCATAGGGGGAGGGGGTTCGCTGGGAAGGGAGCCCCAGAGGGAAAGGGCCGTTGGGGTCTGGGAGGGATACAGGGCCTGTAGCAGATGAGACACCGGCCAGCAGGAGGCACTCTGGGGCTGGAAAAGAGCTAATTCCCAGACTGACCAGCAGGAGGCGCCGTGGTGGTGAGTCAGCGATCTGCTACAACTTTTATTATAATAATGTTATTGAGCTATAACTTGAATCAATTTATCCCTTCAAAATTAAGCTCTGCTAAATAACGGACAATGAAAGGATGTTACTATTAATGGGTCCCACTGGGCATTATTAAAAAGTCTTTGCCATGATCATGAAAAAGAGTTTAAACTTCAAACAGGCTGCAGAGAGGATTGTAAAAATTCAGTGGGCAAATTTGGTGTAGCACCACTGGAATTGACAGCATTACATTCAGGATGAATTTGGCCCATTTCATTCAATGCCTAGAGATGGGAGGTGCTTAATGACTTCTCAGTGGTGGTTAAGGCTAATATGAAATTAATGTTAAATTATAGCAACTAAAGGAGACCTTGCAGGATGGACCAAACAGGCGGAACAAAACTTGCTGGGCCATATCCTCAGCTGGTGTAAATTGGCATTGACTCACGCAAATCAATAGAACTATGTTCTTCTTCACCAGCTGGGGATCCGGTCCCATTATGTGCAGCAGAATTAATGCATGATGTCATTCTCACAAGAGGAATATCCTCCAACACTCATTCCCCTTGGGTCCCAGAATAGCAAGTGATGGAAATGTCTTTGGGGCCAAGGCAATTTTTCCTCAGTAGAAACAAAACAGCTATTAACTCTAAAGGGTAACAAGGGGAATCCAGCTAGTTCTGTGTAAACATCAGGGGGCCAGATTTGTTCCTGGATGAACTCCACTCTAGGCAGTGGAATTACACCATGGGTAAGTATGGTCTACATGCTATTAGCAGAACCATCAGAACAATTATGTGCTGCACAGCTCAGGGATGCAGATTGTTTTTAAGTCTATGTCACACTAGTTAAAATCTGCCATCTCGGGTCCTAGTGACCAGTTCTGGGTGCTAACTGAGGATCCTGTTATGAACCCCTTGGTCACATTAGTGAACAGTTGCACACAGGAATAATTCCACTGAAGTCAATGAAGCTATTACTGCTCTACAGCCAAAATGCTTCTGAAATAAATGTAGTGAAACTTTACTAATTCTGGGTCACTGAGAACAAAAATGATTCTTAAAATTGTTGATTGGCTCTAGTTTTCAAGATATGCTATTGGATCAGGATATACGACCCTTGACTTGGGAATGGCGGAGGATAAGTGAGTTATAAAGGGAAGGGATCTCAATTTAAACCAGAAATGACTGAAATACATCTTTGACTGGATCTATGAATAAATCTATGACTGGGTTTTGACAGTACTTGCTTTTTAGGCAAAACAATGAATGATGCAATCTGAAGCTGGTATTGTGTCATACATGGTATGAATTGCATCATGCTATTCCTAGAAGTCATGGATGATGCAATCATAATGAAGCTTACATCATTCTGCTGAACAAATTGCCCTATATCAGCTTTAGAAATCATACAGTGTCGTGCTCTCTTATTTGTCAGTGTTTGATTTTGCAAAGGGACACATTTCTGTTTAGCCAAAGTGAGCAGAGATGCCTCGTACTTGTGTGAACAGTGCAGATAACTTCTGCTATGTTTGTGGTGAAGTGACTTTTGCATCACAAAAGCACAGTATAACCACTATGGTTAAGAAAGCCTATCACCTTTATTTTGGCTGCAAAATTGGAGATCAGGACAAGAGGTGGTCCCC